AAATAAACTCAAACTACTAAGACTTCATCAAATTTAGAGCCTCTCCTCGGGGTCACCTCCACGGGTCCTTGGGTGCCTGGTCAAGACCAGCCCCTATCCTCGGGTCCGAGTTTGTAGAGAGAGGAGTCAAGAATGACTTAGCCAAAATAACAAGTGTACCTTGAACGTCGCGCAGCATATCGTGCAGACCGTTGATCAGATTAAGCCAAGAATTTCCTATATCGAAGCTCGCTTCAAGAGCTTTAAAATGAACCAAGTTGCCTCGCGAAAAGTTCTGCCATTACGAAGTTATGACTCGGACAGCGTTGGCCTAGCGTCGTAGTGCTAGCGTACTAGCGTTGACTTGGGTAGCATTGCGCCGTTGCATCGCGTAGAAGCGAAATTCCAGGAAGGAAGGAATTCGCTTGAATCAATTTTACTATATCCAGGTACAAACAGAGAAGGAATAAATAGTTATAGCTAGCAAGGAGCTTGGGAATCAACTTGGGAACAACCAAGGATGATCCCAAATAATTCCAAGCAACAGAACCAACCTGGCTGGACAAAACAGCCAGTGGTAGGTTGGTAAACAACCTCTGCTTCTGTTTTTCCAACATGGGAAAACAACAACCAGGTTAAGGTCCTAAAAACAAAACCTGATTTGTCTTTGCCCAACCAGCCAAATGCTAGTTCCGCTGGTTTCCCCTGGCCCTGTAGCATGCAGATACAGACAAACAACATCCAACCTTCACCTAAATTGTACCCCTGAGGCTGGTGCTATTTCTGGTCTACGTGGACGACATTCTTCTCTTTAGCAGCAGCATGAAGGAGATCCAGAATGTGCAGCAGCAGCTGATGGAGAACTTCAAGTGCAAGAACCTTGGGGAGGTAAAGTACTACCTCGGGATGCATGTGGAGAGCGATCCAGATGACAGGTGCTTGAAGCTTCACCAGGAGAAGTTCATCAAGGAGCTGGGGGAGAAGTATGGGATTGAGAATGAGCGCAAGGTTGCAACTCCCCTGCCAGCAGAATTCAAGCTTGTGAAGGCTGCAGAGGATGAAGGGTCGAAGCTGAGGAGCAGCAGCAATTTCAGTCCTTGGTGGGCAGCCTCTTGTATGCAGCAGTTCACACGAGGCCCGACATCTCTTTCTCGGTTGGGCAGCTGGCTAGGGTGGTGCAGAATCCATCAGAGGAGCAGGTGGATGCAGCAGAGCGTGTGGTGAAGTATCTGAACTCTCACCCAAGCATTGGAGTTCAATACTCTGCGTCTGCACAGGTGAAGCAGAAAGGGGTTGAGGTGCTGAAAGAGAAAGGGGAGCGGCTTGGAGAAGGCAAGCTGTTTCTCACTTGCTTTACAGATGCTTCGTGGGCCTCTGAGAAGGAGGATTCCTCATCTGTGGGAGAATACATCTGTGTAGTTGGGGGAGGACCTGTTAGTTGGTGGTCAAAGAAGCAGACGGAGACGGCACTCTCTTCCGTGGAGTCAGAGTACATGGCAATGTTTCACGGGGTGAAGGAGGTGATTTGGCTGAGGAGGCTGTTAGAGGGGATTGGCCAGGAGCAGAAGGTTGCTTCGCCGCTGTTTTGTGATAGCAAGGGGGCTCTTCAGATGGCCGTGAATGCTGTGCTTCATGGGCTCAATAAGCACATGCGTATCAAGTGGCACTGGCTGCGTAAGGAGGTGAAGAGGGGGACGGTGAATCCGATCTACATCAAGACTCACCAGCAGCCAGCAGACTTCCTCACCAAGAGGCTTGCGGATGAGCCTCATTTGCGTTGATGGGGATGCAGCCGGCAGGCTGAGGGGGAGTGTGTTGGGTGTAAACTCACATTGCATGGCATCCTGCCGTGTGCTTGTACGAGTATGCGTGTTTGAATGCATTCGGGTGTGAATGGAATGTTCGTATGTTTATTTGCTTTCGCAATTTTCGCTTGATGTATTTGCAGGTACTCGTGCAATGTACGCTTTGGCACAACATTGTACGCGTTATTAACAGTGCTAGCAGAAAGGACAAGCTCGCAAAGGAACCCAAGATGGAAGCTTTGCGGTCCGGTTGAATTGATTGCGCAGATTCAGTTCTATCCAACTCGAAACTGTACTGTTTTGTTTGGTTGACTATAGTGTAGTTAGGAGGCATTATAGGGGTACAATTTAGGTGAAGGTTGGATGTTGTTTGTCTGTATCTGCATGCTACCGGGCCAGAAGGAGCCAGCGGAACCAGCATTTGGCTGGTTGGGCAAAGACAAAACTGGTTCTGTTTTAAGGACCTGAACCTGGTTGTTGTTTTCCATGTTGGAAAAACAGAACCAGAGGTTGTTTACCAACCTACCACCTGCTGTTTTGTCCAGACAGGTTGGTTCTGTTGTTTGGAATTAATTGGGATCATCCCTAGTTGTTCCCAGGCTAATTCGCAAGGTCCTTGCTAGCTAAAACTATTTATTCCTTCTCTGTTTGTACCTGGATATAGTCGATTTGATTTGAAGGAACTCCTTGCTGGAATTTTGTTTTTACGCGGTTCGACGGCGGAATGTTACCTAGTCAACACTAGTACGCTAGCGCTTTATTGCTAGGAAAACGCTCTCTGAGCCATAACTTTGTAATGGCAAAACCTTTCGCGAGGCAACTTAGCTTATTTTAAAACTCTTGGAACGAGCTTCGATATAGGAAATTCTCAGCTTAATCCGATGGACGGTCTGCAGGTTACGCTGCGGGACGTTCAATGTACTCTTGCTATTTTGGCTAAGTCGTTCTTGGTTCCTCTCTTTATAAACTTGGACCCAAGGATAGGGGCTGGTCTTATACCAGGCACCCAAGGACCCTTGGAGGTGACCCCGAGGAGAGGTTCTAAGTTTGATTAAGTCTTTTTAGGCCCTTACACCAGCTGATCCGGCACGTCAGGGTGTGAAACTCGTTCCTAAGACGCATCTCTTTGCATTCATTACATCAACTCTGATTGTCCTGGTGACCTTTTCTATGCTCCCTCATGTCAGCAGCTCATTCGCAGCTAGGAATTCATCATTGACAAGTCTCGCTCTCCATTCCTCACTCCCCCTCCTACCCCTCCTAATCCTTCTCTTCATTGGTCTGACCTTGTTCCGCGTCCCTCCACTTCTCCCTCTGCTACTCTCTCCCTACCTCCCCTTCTCCCCACCCCTGCTCCTCCTCTCCTACCTTCCCCTGCCGCTCCTCCTTCCGCCGTCACCTAAGGCAAGTCTCCTCCTGCCACTTCCTCTTCAGCTACCATGCCCTCTCTATCGCCACCTCCTAATGCTTCCTTTCCTTCTGCTCCCCTTACCCCACCCTCTCCACACCTCACTCGCTCCATGTTCCGCGCAATGTCCAATTTTCAACACTCCGCTCTTTTCACTTGTCTATTGTTCTCTCAGGATCCCAATATTCTTGAAGATTGGTTGGAGGAACTCTTCTGTGTTCACCCTGTCTCCCCTCTTCTATGTGTCACTATCGGCAACTTCAGCAATTCACCCACTTTTCTCTCTGCCGACACTGCCGCCATTCCCAACCCGCAGTCCTATTCCGAGGCCGTTTCTAGCTTTCACACCACTGAGTGGATGGCTGCCATCATTGCTGAGTCTGAGGCGTCTACTCGTACCTATTCCTACGTCGACTCCGTCTCCCCCCCCCTGGTGCCACCATTGTGAAAGGGCAAATGGGTCTTTCGTGTCAAGCAGTTGCCCGGGGAGCTTCCTCTCTTCAAAGCCCGTTATTGCGCCAAAGGCTTTACCCCTTCTGAAGGCAGTCAATTACTTTGCCACTTACTCTTCCGCTACTCGTCTCCCAACTCTTCGCCTCCGTCTTGACCTAGGTGCTTAATGGGATTGGGAGATCCATTCTATGGATGTTTCTAATGCTTACATTCAGGGCGAGCTTCATGAGCGCATTTTCTTTGAACGCCCCGCCAGTTTTCCTCGCCCCTTTCCTCCAGGCACTGTTTGGGAGCTGAAGTGACAGGTGTATGGCCTCAAGCGGGCTCCCCGCGAGTGGCATGCCATGATCCGCATGTGGCTCCAATGGAGCCCCAATGTCTTCATGCGAGCTCACTGTTATATAACGGTTTTTACCGTTTGAAAAACAGAATATCCATTTTGTACCTGTGGCGAAATGATCACGCAAAGCGGCACGACATTTGCGAGAAATTTCCCGTCCCGTGAGTCAACTCCGAAAACAATTTTTCAACTGTAAATTCCGAGTTCCCCTCGTGCCACACGCACGACCGATATTTTTCTCGGCAGTGCTATACACATGATGCCCGACCAGTGCACGCGAATTTGCCATGCACCGGATGGACACGCTGCCCCCGAACTCGAAACCCCTGCTTGCTGCACCCCATGTATAGGCACCTGGATGGCCTTCTACAGTGCACGCGGCTCGGCCTCTCCCCCACGTGCAGACCACAACAAGCAGTGCCGACCCATGTTTCCCCTTGTTTCTAGGCCAGGCGCCAACCTGACGAAACGAATGGACGAAATGACAGTGGTTTCGTAAGTGCATTCGCCCACCTGCCCCGCCACCTAGGCGAGTATCATGGTGCGTGTAACAGACATCTGGGCTGGTGCACGCTGCCACGTGTATTCCGCACTTTTGGGGTACAAGCCCATTAACAACCAGGCGTTGTTCGACAACCCCACGTCAGCTTTGCACTATGGTGGTAACCCATCCACATGTTCGACATTGTAAGCAACGAGCATGCAACGAACACCCACCACACAAATTCAACCCAGTCAATCCGAACAGGCCCCAGCAACGATCATCCTCGTCCGCCAGATGAAGATTAAAACCGATTAGCAAATTCACTGAAGCATCGCCTTCACCTTATCCCCCACAGCACGCCCACCATGCCGCGACTTAATCGCCGTGAGCAGCTTCCGCTGCACATCAAGCGCGCATTATGCGCGCATCACGTCGAGCACCCCCTTCTGCGTCACGTAGACTTGGCCCGCTGGGTTTACGCCCAGTATGGCCTGCGGCCTGACCGCTCCACGGTCGGACGCATTTTGAAGAATGCCGATCGTTGGGCAATCACCGACCCCGCCGCCGCCAATCAAGTGCGCCGCCGCCAATCAAGTGCGCCGTCGTGGTGGCGCATGGCCCGAGCTTGAGCAGGCGATGGCTCGCTGGATCGCTAACGCTGGCCCCGCAGGCGTACCACTCACTCTGCAAACGATCCGCGATCACGTGGCGATTATGGCGCGCAACATGGGCATTCCGCCCGTGTTTCGATGCTCCATTGGCTGGGTGCGCCGTGCGTTGCGGCGCCAGGGAGTGCGGTGCCGTGCCGCCACCGGCGAGGCGGCGAGCGCCAACATGGCTGCTGTGCGTGAAGCGCGTGAGAAGGTGCCGGCGCTTCTTACTCACCTCGGCTACCAGCCGCGCGACACCTTCAATCTTGACGAGACAGCTCTGTGGCTCTCTGTGCTGCCCCGAAAAACATACAGCAATGCCCGCATTCCGGGTCACAAGGTCTCAAAGGAGCGGCTGACCGTCGCGTTTCTCGTCAACGCCGACGGCAGCCATGTTTTCCAGCCGCTCGTCATCAGCAAGGCGCGCCGTCGTCATGACTTCCGGCCGGACTACGACCCCGAAGCCGTCTGCTACTGGCGGCATAACGCCAAGGGCTGGATGACCAGTGCGTTAAGTGTGCACCCGGCCGTGTAATTCTATTTGTGCATGTGTTCTTATGTTACTTATGTTAATTTATAGTTTTCTCAACCCGACCCCCCCCCCAACAGTTGTTCACCAACTTCATATCGCAGCTCAATGCCGCGATGTATGCCGAAGGGAGGGAAATCGCGGTGCTGCTCGACAATGCCAGCTCCCATATGCTGCGGGACGAGTGCGCGTGGAGCGAAATCGTCTGCGGCATGCGGACCACCCGCCTCAGCAACGTGCGCATCATCTTCCTGCCGCCGAACACAACCGCCTTCACGCAGCCGCTCGACCAGGGGATAATCGCGACCGCGAAGGCCCGCTATCGCCAGCACTGGCTGCGTGCCTTCACGGCGCTGTGGAACGACGACGGCGCAACAAGCGCCGTGGCCCGCTATCGCCCCAATCTGCGCGATGTGCTGGGGTGGCTCTCAGACGCCTGGATGAGTGTCGGTGCACGCACCATCCAGAGGTGCTTTTGGCGCACGGGCTGCATGCCTCTGTCGTAGTCCCTGGAGCTCACCCATGTGTATGATGATGAGCCGACCCCACATGCGTACCCCGACATTGAGCTCGACGACGACATCGACGACGTCGGCGACCTCATTGGCGGACTCGGCCTCGGCACCGGCGCGATGACCGCCGTTGAGTACGTCGCCATCGACGAGGGCGAGCCGACGTGCGCGGAGGCGGCAGCGGGCGCGACACCGGATGATGCGGACGTGGGCCTGGTGGCGGAGCTATGGAGGGCGCCTACCAAGATGCAGGCCGTGTATGGCGAATCCGACCCAATCGGCCGTGAAGCGCGGCGCACGGCACGGGCGGCCAGCGAGATGCTCATCGGCTACGCTCGCGCCGTGAGCGTGACGCCGCGCGACCTTTGCCACCTGTTCGACATTCGTAATCCGATTATCAGGGAGCGCATGGAGCGGGCAAGCCCCGCGCTCAATCTCAACACGGCCCCACCGCGGCGGCTTTCGCCGACCGTAACTCCGCCGCCTGACACCCCGCGTCCGAGGGGCCGAGTGCTGCCTGGCTGGATGACCCAGCCGTCCCGCCGTCAGCAGCTTCTGGACGCCGGGGTTGGCGCCGCGATGGGCGGGTACGTGGAGGCGGCAGAGTGGATGCATGTGTGAATTTGTTTTGTGGACTCATGAGGAGTCGAAGGTTAGGATGGTGGAGTTTTTGTGGATTTGCTATGTGTTTGGATTGTGCACGTAACGGGCACAATTGCAGTAGAGGGGATGAGGGGCCATGTGGTAGTTCGTGATTGGCCCGGCTTTGTGTGTCAGCTGTTTCAATCTCAGTTGAACAAATGTTGATGTTGCTTGACGGTTCAGTTTTGCTTTCGTGTGGATTTCGGTAACGCGCACTTGTGACAACAGGTGCCACCCGACACTGTTACATAACGGACAAAGCGAGTGGTAACCATATGCGCGTTAAATGCACGCGCAAAGCCTGACGAAACCCTTGACGAACCGACGAAAGGACGTTTTAGCTTACAGACCCCCTTTACAAGGCAACCGGGAGGGGCTCTAACGAGCATTAGCTGTACAGCGCGCCATGATTTCAATCATGCCCGTGTACAGTGCGGAACAAGGCCGAAACGTGCCTTGTCTTGTTGCGATTGTGCTGTACAGCACTCTCCCAACAGTACGCGGCACACGCCCGAGCCCTGAGGGGCCACACGCGCGTGCCAGGACCCACGCGTGGGTCTTGACTTTTGCGCTTTTGACCAGCGCGAAAATAGTCAAGGCACCACCTTGACCAGTCAAACAATCGAGCCCCACAAAGACACCCCACGGTACACCACTTGCTCGCATGAGGCACGCATGAAACATTACAAACTTATGGGACTTTCATGAAAGGCTCATTTGAGCCTCATGAGAGCCTCATGTGACAGCTTTGCATGATCCTCATTTGAGAGCTTCGCATGCTCATGTGACAGGCAAGCAAGGAGGATCATGCAAGCTACGGTGATGAGGATCATGCAAGCTACGGTGTTTCCTGCCGTGATGTCCATTGCCTTTGCTTGCCTGATACCAGTTTCTCTCTCGTTGTCCCCCCCGCTTGCTCTCCAGATGGAAGGTGACGCTTTCGCAATTGTGGCGTCTGCCTATGCAGAAGCCAGCCCAAGAGCTGACCATGGGGATGTGGTGCCAGCGTTGCTCCAAGCCGCCCATGTGTTAGTGGAACGCGGAGACTTGCGGTTTTCTCGCAGCCGGCTCGCGCACCGTCGAAGGTCCCGTGATCCTGCGTATCAGTTGCTGGGTGCAAAATCACTTTTCATGACATCGTGCCATCTGCTTGTACGTGCATGCTTGTGCGAATGCATTTGCATGTGAATGGAATATTCATGTGTTTGTTGCTTTTCGCAGTTTTCGCTAGAAGCATTTGCTGGTACTCGCCCAATGTGCGCTTCGAAACAACGTTGTACGCACTAAGAATAGCGCAAGTAGAAACGACGAGCTCGCAAAGGAATCCAAGATGGAAGCTTTGCAATTCGGTTGATTTGAATGCGCATATTCACTTATATCCAACTCAAAAATGTATTGTTTTGTTTGGCTAACTATAGTGTAGCAAGGCAGGCTTTGTAGGGGTACAATTAGGTGAATGTTAGATGTTGTTTATCGGTATCTGCATGCTACAGGGCCAGTGGAAACTAGGAGAACCAGATTTTGGCTGGTTGGGCAAGGACAAAACAGGTTCTGTTTTTCGGATCTGAACCTCTTGTTGTTTTCCTAGGTTGAAAAAACAGAACCAGAGGTTGTTTACCAACCTACCATCTGCTGTTTTGTACAGCCAGGATGGTTCTGTTGCTTGGATATATTTGGGATCTTCCCTGGTTGTTCCCAGGTTGATTCCCAAGGTCCTTGCTAGCGTTAGCTATTTATGCAGTCTTTGTCTGAACTCTGGATATAGTCAAATTGATTCAAGCCAAATCCTTCTTTGCTGGAATTTCGTTTTCTACGCGGTTCAACGGCGGAATTCTACCGAGTCAACGCTATAATGCTAGCACTACAACGCTAGGCAAAATATTTCTAACCCATACTCTCAATTGGCAGAACTTTTAGTGAGGCAACTTGGTTTATTCTAGTGCTCTTGGAGTGAGCTTCGATATAGGGAATTGTCTGCTTAATCTGATCGATGGTGTGTACGATACGCTGCGCGAGATTCAAGGTACTAAGTCCCTGTTGATCTCCCTCTCTACAAACTCGGGCCCAAGGGTATGGGCTGGTCTTGTACCAGGCACCCAAGGACCCTTGGAGGTGACCCCGAGGAGAGGTTTTAAGTTTGATTAATTTTAAATAGCCCGAGTTTATTACGCCCTTACACCAACAAGATCGTAGCGGCAGCCAAGATTCTGGTGTTTCGGTGCCAAAGGGAGCGCGAACAAACCAGTTTCGGCTGATCAAGGAGGTGCTGAATAACTTCATTGTCGAGAAGTTCAATGGTGAGGGCCATGATGATTGGGCCTGGAAAATGCAACTTTATTTCTGTCAGATCGGTTTGCTTGAAACTAATGATTGGGGAGGAGCCTAGACCGAGTGACCCTACGCTGCACAAAGATTGGGACGAGCGCGCCTCGGGTGGCTACTACTTGATTTGCAGAGTGTGAAGCTGAACCAGCATCACCTCGTCACGCACACGCTCTTGGATGTTCAGTGTGGAACGAAGGTGTGGACTGTGCTGAAGGAGCTGCACGCCCCAACCTCCGTTGTTGCAACGTTGATGTTGGAGAGGGAGCTGTCCGCGCTGCGCTTGAGCGAGGGAGAGCCGGTGCAGACTGTCCTGGACAAAACGCGTGTCGTCTACACGAAGCTGGCGACCGCGAAAATCACCTATCCGGAGCAGACCAAGTTTTTTAAGATGCTCTCACTGATGCTGGAAACGTGTCTTCAATTCACAAGGGGGTCGAGCCTGCCGCAAAACCAGAACTTGTGGACGCTTGAGTGGGTGCGGAAAAATATTCGGGAGGAGGACTTCCGTCGCCGCCAACAGAGGGGTGGAGACGACGGCAGCAGCGGCTATGAGATGCAAGGGAACCGACGTGACAGAGGACGTGGCTTTGGTGGTTCTGGACGTGGTGCAAAGAAGGACGACGACGACCAACGTGGAGATGCCGATTGGGGTCGCGATGGGAAATCTGGACGCGGTGGCACATTGGGTGCTGGAGGCACATTGGGTGCTGGTGGCAAGATGAAACGGAGATGCTATATTGTGAAAAGGAGGGGCATCACTGGTTATAAAAAAATCGAAGGATGGACCCCCACAAATGCCATCAGGATGGCGGCGTGCGGAGCAACCAGAAAAGCCGCGCAAACATGGTAGCAGATTCGTTCGATGACAACCACAAAGACAAAGGCGGTGCTGAGAAGAAAAAGGAGTGCGCCGCATGCCATTTCTTCCATGCTGGAAACAAGGGAGAGCAAAGAAACAGTTCTGCCAAGGTAGGAGAAAAGCTGCACCCCTGGACTTTTGGGTGTTGGACATGGACGCTGCATGGACGATGACGCCGCGCAAGGACCTGCTAGACGACCAATTTCTGAGGTATGCTCTGCGTCTGGACATCCATTGAAGGTGGCTGGTACGGGACGAGCTGTCTTTAAGGGAGCGGATGGCAAGCCGGTGGTGCTGTACCAATCTCTGAGGTATTCTATTCGTCCCCAACCTCAATGCCAACCTGATCTCCCTGCGTAGCTTGCCAAGGCAAGGGTGAGTATTAGCACGGATGGGGCATGCAGTTATAAGGGGCAGCTGGGCAATCGGGTGCTTTGACAACTAAAAAATCTGTTTGCTCTCAAATTCACACATTTCTTCTTCCATAGCATGGCTGGCATGAGCAAGAAGCCGGTCCGGATTGACTTGGTAGGGCTGCTACCGGTTCAGGGGCACAAGGGGGAGCGGTATTTTCTCACGATTGAGGATGATTGGAACATAATCATATGGGCATATTTGCTGGAGAAGAAGGACCACGCTGCCTCCATGGTGCAATATGATTGGCTGCCATTCGTAGAGAAGCAATCTGAGTCTGTGCTGAGGCGGATTAGGACAGACCTAGGGTGGTGAGTTTCTTGGAGCTGAGATGACGTCTTGGTTTGAGAAGCGAGGCATCCAAAGGGAGCTGACTATGGTTTACACCCGTGAATCCAACGGTGTAGCAGAACGGGCGAACCAGACACTTTTGGAGACAGGTAGGATGTTGCTAATGGAATATGGTTTGGGGAACCCCATGTGGCCCCACGCTATCCGGCACAGTACTGTCGCTAGGAAAAAGGCCCTCTCTAAGTTTGGGGATGACTTCGGGGTGCCGTTGGAGAGGTGGCTTGGGAGGAAGTCGCCGGTAGTTATGTTGAGGATGTTCAGTTGCATGGCAGTTGCCCACATCCCCAAGAAGCACCGAAGTAAGTTGGGGGCGAGTTCAATCTGGTGTGTACATTTGGGGCTGGCTGCTGAGAGCATTTGATGGCTGCTGTGGGAACCACGCAAAGGTGTGTTGTTTGACAACAGGGATATGAATTTTGTTGAGTGACTGATGTATGGGGTCTGGGAGAAACAGCCAAAGGCCTATGTCTCACAAGAGATAGAGCAGATCACCATGCAACTGGACCTGACTCCTACTGTATGGGAGGAGGGAGATGAGGCATCTGTAGAAGGTGGTGTTTGAGAGTGAGTACAACAGGCACCTTCTGGGGGAGATGGTGTAGAGGCTAGTGGTAGCACTAGTGGAGCTGCTGAATCTGAGGGTGGAGAGCAGCAGTAGGGCAAAGCTAGGGCTCCTAAACTACCACCAAGGAGGGAGCCAAAGGGTGTTCTTATGAGGGGATGGGAGACACCTGTCTCCAGGCCAGGACGTACTCGTATGGCCACTAGGAAGCTGATTGCAAGTGGGCGCTGAGGATCAAGACCGAAGACAAGGGGTTTTAGTAGAAGGAGAAGCAAGACCGCTGAGATCTTTGTGGCTTGAAGCAGGCGCCGCGCTGCTGGTACCAGAAGTTGGCAGCTGCTTTAGAGAAGATGGAATTCAGGACCAGCAGCTGTGATGAGAGCCTCTTTCTCCTGGAGATGTTTCTGGTCTACGTGGACGACATTCTTCAGCAGCAGCATGAAGGAGATCTAGAATGTGAAGCATCAG